CTTGAGCACTTCATTTTCTTCTGCTAAAAATTATTCACCTCTAAAGTGACAATAACAGATCTTACCTTATAGGGTTGGTCGAAGACATGAGTGTGTTAAGACATGGAAAACACCTCAGAGCTGGAGTGAGCCCGTGCCAGATTCCTGGACCATAATGAAAACACCACACAGTAGTTAAAAGTTTCAGGTTACCAAAATTTATCTAAAATTTCAACATTGCATAGCAAGTATTTAGTAAGCATAGCTATTGTTATTTAGTAAGCAGGCCAGGGTGATGGCTCAGTAGAATAAGCGCTTGCCTGGCAAGCACAAGGCCCTGAGTTCAATCCCTTGTACTGAAGAAAAAAAAAAAAATTATTTAGTAAGCATCAGCTATTATTATTAATAAAAGACCCAGTTGGACCAGATTATATCTATCTCAGTCCTCAACAAACTTATCACATTTGGTTCTTTTCATTAGTGATGTTGCCAATCCTTAACCTCACCTTAAACTTTTCCTCTTTCTGTGGCTTCATTCTTCAAGTGCTTACAGGCTTGTGTCTATCCTTTGTCTCCAATCTCTTCCATGCAAAATTATCCCCAGTGGCTCCTCTCAGCACCCTTTGCAAAGGTAAGTTAACAGCAGCCTGGGAGAACTACCCCAGGCAAGCGCTGGAAGGAGACCCCTGAGCTAGCAAAGGAGCAGGGATGCGGGCTCACTCTTGTCTGAGCTCAATCTTTCTGCTGTCATAGTGCGACATGCTCCTCCTTGTCTTTCTTGGGCAAGTCCATAAAGGCCAGCATAGAAGAACTATTTAAAAAACAAGGAAGTTCTTGAAAACCCCCAAAAGGCATTGATCAGATGTGTTCAGTCTGAGTTCTAGCTGGTCCTTGGAAGGCAGCAAGCCACACACCACTTACACCCTTGGTTCTCCTCATCCACACTGTACCCCATAGACCATCTTCAGACTCATCACTGTCCCCTTAGATTCTATGTAACTGCTAAGCCTTCTTTTCTCTTAAATTCAAATTCCTTCTGAACCAAAGCACCTTCAAATTAATGTGAGATTAATCTGAGCACTGCACTTGGATCTGCAGCGGTTCCTTACAGCCACGTGGTGACATGAAGGAGAAACCACTTCTAGCATTCAGAGTTCTTCAGAAGGTCTTAAGGCCTGCGTCCTCTGATTGCCCGCACACATCGTCTGCCCCAGCAATGCTAGAGTGATCATTCTCAAAGCTCTGCAATATCATTTCCAAGAGAAATTTACTCTTCCAACTCTTGCTCTTTTTCTGCATCAAATTCTAATTCTTCCATGACCACAATCACCTTTTCCTTGCACACTCACAAAAAGATGTGATCTCTTCTTCAGCAAACTTGTCATAGTACAGTGATAGAATATACACCTCTGTGGGCCCTTATTCTACTTTGCTCTGTCCTTTAATCCTTCACATATTGGATTTCATTTTTGGACCATTACACTATGTTTGCCTTCTTGCTAAAGACTGTCATTATACCCGCTATCATGCCTTGAGGAGAGCTTGGCTAGCGAGGAGCACTGATAAAAGCACTTTGTAAAAACTTGAATTTAAAATTGCATTGTGGAGCAATATCATATTATCTTATTCATATTTTATGGTTCAAATTTTATTATTGTCAGTCTACTATTTATTAAATGTTTGTTACTGATCATGAAGAATGTTCTTAGCAGGCTACGTCTATCTCTCTCTTTCTGGCTTTCTGTATATAGACATAGTACAGAAAGATGGAGAGACAGAGTGGGTGGGGAGGAAAGGAGAAGAGGAAAGGAGGAGACGTGGAGAGAATGGAGTCCCACGCATGAAAATCACTACTTCCAGATGAATCTTCCAGTGCCTCACATTTGGCCCAGATGTCCGTGACTTTGGTCTGGAAGCACTTTCTTCAGTTGACTAGCATAATGGACCAGGCTATGGCTCCAATGAAATAAAATAAAAATCTACAAAGGAAGATTATATTACCCCTCTTTGGGACCATACTTCTCAATTGTCCTTCAGCTTAACTCTAAGAGATTTCGTCCCTGCTGGGATCTGAAAGTGCCCTTTGGCTTCATGCTTTGGAAACATAAAGTCCCATGTTGAGAAGTGGGGTAAGAGGTGACCGGTTGCTGGAGACAAAAGTGCTCATCCACTGCTTAAATCCCGCAATGGGTTAATATTGTCATGACACAACAATGGTTAAAAGGTGAAAATTCCTCAAAAAAATAGGATTAGAGATCCCATTCGACCTGGCTAATCCCCTCCTGGATATTTTCCCAGAGGAATTGAAATCATACCACAACAATATATGTGCACCAAGTTTATAGCATCACAATTTGTCATAGCTAAACCTTAGAAATAACCCAAAAACCCATCAACCAAGGAATAGAGAAAAAAGATGTGGTATTTTTTATACAGTAAAATATTACTCGGCTCTAAAGAAAGATATACTCAAGGCCTTTATAGGTAAATGGATGCAATTAGATACCATACTCATAAGCGAAATGAAACAGACTTGCATTTATAAACATTGTATTGTTTACCAAGATAAGAAACTGAAAGAGTAAATAAAATCCAAAAGATACAATATATGTTGTGAAAGAAAAACTGCTCAAAGGGAAAGAACAACTGGGATGGTAGAAAAGAGAAAAGAAAGAAGGGAAGTAAAGATATGTATATACCTTTATATGATAGCAAGATGCTTGTACTACTAATTTCTGTCAGTTCCTTGAAAGGAAAAGCTAGTACCTACTGTTTGATCAATTTTATATGCCTGTACCTGGTAATCTGAGCAACTGCTTTGAAGATAACAATACACAATATAATAACATTGATAATTTCTTATCATCTTGTATTGAAGTTATGCATCATTTCTATTTTTCTTTCTCCCTTTAAAATGAGTCTTCTCCTCCTGCTGTCTGCTTGGCACACACTCACCTGTCCTTTCACCTCTGCCATCTTCAGATGTAGCACGCAGGTCCTTGCCAGAGGCATTACCTGATTCCAGACTTCTTCCCAGCCTCTCGACGAACAAGATGGAAGCTTGGCTTCATAAATCTCCCAGGCTGCGGCATTCTGTTTAAGCAGCACAAGAACACTGAGGCACTCCTCATGGACTTTCATATCCCCTCTCCTTTCATTGTAAACAATTGACAAATGCAGAATCATGAAATTAGGCTTAGTAATAAAAAGCTAAGAATCTTGAGACAAAATACATTTCCTTTAGACTCCTCACACTCTGATTTTGGTCTCTTTGGTTTCCTCATTCTGAGCTTGGACCTTTTAAAAGCCCTCAGGTCAAAAAGTTAAAAGAAGGAAATGAAAAAGTGGTCACTAAAAAGTGCAAAGGGCCACAAGGGTTTTGTAGTTTATATTGTCATGTAAATCTACTTTCATATGACCCAGCATATCATAATGAATGTAAGACGTGTAATACAAACAATGAGCAAAATTCACTTATTCTCAGGTTTTTTAAAAGCCATGAAATCACTGAGCCATGGGGAACAAAAGCAAGAAGAAAGGAATGAAGGGAGGTTAGGAGGAAGAGAAAAAAGAAGGAAAGAGAGAAGAAAATCCTGACATCAGAACAGTTGGCCCAAGGGGTGCTTTATAACTAAGTAAACTGAAAGAGTCAAGAGAAGGCTTCCAACCAATTTTGTGCAGTACCTGTCAAAGACCAGAACTGAGTGTATCTAAAGAAAATAATGTGATGAATTTCCACACTGAAAAGCTCCAGCAAAGCCATGCGAAATGTCCCAGTGTGTGTTTATCGTGACTGATGCTTTTTCCTGAACACACAATCATAGACCTGCTGATCATTACAGGCAATGACATCCATCCAGGTTCAATGACCAAAAGGCGAGGTGTCTCAGCCAGCCTTTGTCCTTCCCAGCAGAGCACATTTCTGCCCAAGAATAAAGGGCAGAGTGGGGTTGAGGAAGGGTGCTCAAGCACTGCAAAATAATCTTTTTAAAGAATACCAGTGAGGAAAAAGGAGGTACTATTCAAGATATTTTCCCCTCTCAATCTTTCATTCAGATTTTTAGCTTCTTCAATCTCCATTTTCTGGAAATCTGCCTGCAGATTTCACTCTCCTTGTTTCCTTAACCCAAAACTCCTTCTGTTCTCTGTTCCTTGCATCAGCAGTGCCGAAAAGTTAAAACACAAGGCAACCATGAGGTTTGAACTGCAGGCAGATAATTATAGTATAAGCATATTCTATATAACACATGGGATAGATTTAGACCAGAAAAAATATCATTGTTTATCTGGAAATTCTAGCAATGAACACACTTTTAGTGTAAATAGGTCGCACATTTATATATGACATATTTACACTGAAAAATATTTGCTATATCATTCTCCTTTCATTGAGCATGTGGCATGTTATGTGCATCAGAACAAGTGTGATATATAGTCTCACATTATTTGATATTCAAATCAAACTCCATTTTATCAATGAATGCTTCTTATTTATCTTTTAAGAAAAAGATTAATGCATTCAATGGGCTGGGGATAGCTTGGCAGCCTAAGCACCTTCCTGGTAAGCACAAGGACCCAGGTTCGATGCTTGGTACCACATGTCATGCAGGCCCCGCACCAAGCCAGCCACTACAACCCGGCGTGGTAGCACATGACTGTAATTGCAGCACTGGGGAGGCTGAAACAGTAGGATCTCTATGAGCCCAAGATGCATAGTGAGACTCTGTACCAAATAAATAAATAAATACAGATAAAAAAAAAAGATTAGTGTGTTCATTCAGTCAGCCAACAATACTGGACACCAATTGTCCTTTGGGAACTGCGTCCGATGCTACAGATAGAAAGCAGAGGCCACAAGGTGACTTCCTGGAAGGACAGTGATGATGCAGGAGCCAGCTTCCATGAAGAGAAGCACTGGGCTTGCACAAGGAGCCTCCCGCAGTTCTTCCGGCTCCTTCCCTCTCGCATCTTCTCAGCTGAGCCTTTTCTTTTCTTTTCTTTTCTTTTCTTTTCTTTTTTTACACTCTGTGAGGATAGAAAGGGCACCTCAGGAGCTTCTGAGGCTGGTACATCCTATCACCACTATTACTGTAGCAAACCTGGTTCCCTTAGCTCCTGCCGCATCATGCAGAGCTAGTGATCGAGTTTGCACTGCTGAGCCTTTTCTGCCCTTTGGGATTGCGCCTCTTCTGGGGCTCCCCTCACCACTGCTTGTAGCCGACCCCCCACGTCAGTCTGTATTAGTGTAATGAAGCCCTTTCTCTCCATTCCCCGAGTCTTCCATGGAGTTATTAGAAGGATACCCGCACGAAGCCGACCAAATAGCTCAGTGGATGAAAGCGCCTGCAGGCAGGTGCCGGGGCCTGGGTTTTGATCCCCCAGCCTGCCATGCTGGCCCTGCCCCCGAGGCCCACTGAGACAGCAATTGAGACTGGGCCTGGTGGCACGCACCTGTAATCCCAGCTCTTGGGAGGCTGAAAATAGGCGGATCACTATGAGTTCGATCCAATAGTGAGACCCTGAACACTCTGTAGACCCTTCCCTAAAACACAAAACAAAGAAAGAAAGAAAGAAAGAAAGAAAGAAAGAAAGAAAGAAAGAAAGAAAGAAAGAAACCCACAGGAGTCCATTAACATCAAACGAACTCTGCCAATGTGCGAAATGGGGTGGTCTGTGCCTTATGCAGCCACTGAATCCGCGCCCCTCGCAGTGCACGGGGTACGCTGCCCGCCCCACATCACGGAAGAGGAAAAGGAGCTGCGAACAGCTCAGCTCACTCACCCGCGTCCCATGTGCAGGGAAGTGGAGCTGAGCTTCATTCAGAACCAGCGCTCTGGCTCCAGGACATTGTGCAGCCGCTCGATAATGGGGAAACACGGTGGCATAAAGACATTTATTTAGCTTCCAGCATCTTCTTCAGCCTATTCAGTATATTCTGTTTTTATTTTATTTTTTCAAAGGGGCAATTCTTATTCTGTTTTTAATGAACAAATGAACATATTGGCCCAAATACAATTCGAAAGAGAGAAGTGTTAGGGAGGCAACTGAAACTGTGTCATCTCACAGAAGGCAAACTCTTTAATTCATCTCCCTTCCCTGCAGTTTACCCAGATCATTCTGCTCGGGGCAGAGGATTAGGATCTGATCCAAGTGCAAACGCTACCCAGCTACTGGGATCCTCTTGGATCTGGCTCATCCGACAAGGCACTCACCGGAGTCTTTTCACAGAAATGTTTTACCTGAGGTTCATTATTTGGAGTTAAAATAGCTTAAACATCCTGAAATATCTGGCAATTTATTTTGCAAAAGCCAAATATGGGACCGTGAGAGGTACCTGGGATTTGATGTTGTAATTCGTGGCTTAACTTGTAAAACCACAGATGTAAGTATCATGGAGCTGAATGTTCCAAAGTCTTCATGGCTTCCCTTGTGCCCTGTGTAAGGCTACTGGTGAGCACTAAAAATATCCCTTTTTCATTTGTATAGAATGAAGAAACTTAAAGCACAGAGACGTTCCTTTGGAAGCTCATCCAGTCCAGCTTTTCTGACAGGGTGCTAATGGTTCCCGACTCTTATGGGTGGGCTTTTCAGCAAATGTCTCACCATACAGATTTCAGCTGCCTAAATACCAATAGGAAACAGAAAAAAAAAAAAATTACTATGAGAACAGATGAAGAATTAACAGTGTCAGTAAAGAGATTTTCATCTTCAAGAAATTAGCTCTTTTAAATAACTCGGGTGGTTGTGGCTTGGCTTCAGTGTTTGCTGCATTACTTTCGGGGAATATGAGCTTTGTATAGTCTTCCTTAGTAAATTACAATGTTCAGATAAGAAAAACAGGGCCGGAAAGATAGCTCAGTGGACTAAGCGCTTGCTTTGGCAAGGGCAGGGACCAGAGTCCAATCGCTGGTTCCACATGCCACACCTGCCCCGCCCCTGGGGCATGCTGAGCTGAAGACCTTGTCTGGGTGGGGTGGTGCACAGCTGTAATCCCAGTGCTGGGGAGGCTGAAAACAGGA